ACTGCCGGTAGCCCTCTGTAAGGCGGGAACAGAAGGTCCATCCTCATGGCTAAAGGAGATTTTTACCTGTTTGTTTATGCTGTTACCCAATTATTCCAGAAAAAGAGGATGACTTACCAATACAAAATATTGAAGTTACTTAAAACTAGTTTTTGGGTCGCATTAGGCTCTCGTTTTACTGAATGACCACCTGAAAAAGCAGCAGATACTTTTCCCCCCACCACGGTCATCATGTACATAAGTAGGAAAGTAGCTTTGCATAAACCAGCAGTGGATTTGAAACTGGATACTGCTGTGCAGGGTCGTTTGGGAAGTGTTTTAAGAGGACAAATAACGTGGTGGTTGGTCGGGGGGTGGGGGGAGATTTAAAAAGATTTTTGTTTTTAATTTGAATCCATTGGCTTTGCTGGTGTAGTTATGCCCTGAGAAACAAAGCATCCCTGTAGGCAGTCCAACAAAAAACGCAACTAAAACGCTCAGAACTGTGGGGAGAGATGCTCTTACTGTGCCATTTCACAAATACGTGGTGCATCATCGCTTTGACTATTATGGGTACCTCTTGGAAGGTAGGAATGGTCATCTTAGGTAGAACAAACTCCTGCATAGTTAAGAAATGCAGCCTGGGACCACTAGCAGATGGAAGAGCCTCTAAGGGTCGGTATAGATCGATGTTTCCTGATACATTCTCCCAGCTTTGCCTCTCTGCAGCTTGTGGGCTTACAGATTCAGCGTGTTTGTAATTTTTTTTATCTTGCTGGATTGTTCTCCAGCAAACTTTTCTGATGCTTTTTTTAACTGATTATATTTCTGGCATACAAACGTTCTGTGACAAAATGTTCCGTTACTTCATTAACCTTTGTGAAGGAGTTACCTCCTTTGAACCTGTCATTCCATAATCTTGTTTGATGCCTCCAATTTTTGCATTCCGAGAAGCTGTGAGTAATTGTTCATTATTCACCAGTTTTATCCCACTTACTGCTTTATTATCTCTTAACAACCTTATGAACGTGATCTCTCGCTTCAAAAAGTCTTAGTCACACTCTCTCAAAAAAGAAACTCAACACGAGGAGAAGAGCAAAGAGACAGCCAGAAAACATCAAGAGGAGTAACTTGAAAGTCTGGAAGTACTGAGCTTGTGAAAGAAAAAAAGTTAAGAGGGCTTGGGTGTGATGAGGCTACCTCATGAGTGCAAAGAAGGTGAGACCTTGAAAAAAAACTGTTGGGAAGCAGGATTGAAATAAAGAGGAAGACAAAGTTTTCTCCATAACACGTTGTGCAGCTTCTCACAGGGCATTGCAGAGTATGAATTGGTTCAAGAACTAATCTAGAGAAATTAATAGATGATTGGTCAATTGACAGTTATTAAAAATAAAGGTCCAGACACTGTCTCTGGCTCAGGGCATCCCTGTGTTACGGACTGGGAGGAAATGTGCAGAACCGAAGGGTCACACTGCTTCAGGGGCCTACAGGAAAGCTGGAGAGGGGCTTTGGACAAGGGCGTGTAGTGACAGGACACAGAAAAATGGCTTTAAACTGAAAGAGGGGAGATTTAGATTGGATATAAGGAAGAAATTCTTCCCTCTGAGGGTGGTGAGGCACTGGCACAGGTTGCCCAGAGAAGTTATGGCTGCCCCATCCCTGGAGTGTTCAAGGCCAGGCTGGATGAGGCTTTGAGCAACCTGGTGTAGTGGAGGGTGTCCCTGCCCATGGCAGGGGGGTTCAATGGCTTTAAACTGAAAGAGCGGAGATTTAGATTGGATATAAGGAAGAAATTCTTCCCTCTGAGGGTGGTGAGGCACTGGCACAGGTTGCCCAGAGAAGTTATGGCTGCCCCATCCCTGGAGTGTTCAAGGCCAGGCTGGATGAGGCTTTGAGCAACCTGGTGTAGTGGAGGGTGTCCCTGCCCATGGCAGGGGGGTTGGAACTAGATGATCTTTGAAGTCCCTTCCAACCCAAACCATTCCGTGATTCTGCAGTTGCTGCTGTTTTCTTGAGCATTCAGTGCTGCCAGGTACAGGGTGGAACAAACTCCTCCCTGAGCGGTGTTTTGCCTAAATAATAGGAGCAGTTAGCATGTAGCGACTCACATTCGTGGAACACAGTCTGCTGTGTGAATGCTTTTTTGAGATGTATTAAGTTCGCATCTTTTGTTCCACAAAAAAAGTTCTTCTTGATGTGCAGCCGGAGAACCTGTGCCTAAAATAATGCGTGTTTCATCATTGGTTTGTGCTGGCTCATTCCTGCCTGTGCCGTGGAGTGCCCTGTGTCGCACAGTGCCAGAGCAAACCAGCTGGGGATCAGCTGAGAAGCAACTATTTCTTCTGTGGTTGTTGTTCTTCCAGACCAGTGTCCCAGTCCAGTTCAGAATCTGGCAACATGGAGTGCTGTCAGCAACATTGAATCATTGAATTCTATGATTCTAATTCCAGAATATCCCAGTTTAGAGGGAATTGCTGCAGCTACTTGTAATACAAGTTACTAATTTTGTAAATCAGTGTCTCTGTTTGCTACGGGTGAACTTTGAAGGGGAGAAGGGGTGATGATCTATTTGGCTGTGGGATATTGAGTGTAAACGAAGTGTCCTGAGCTGTCAGTGTTGCTGGTCAAAGCAGGATAAGTTGTCTAAAGCATTCTTTTCACAACCATGAGAAAAATTAACAAGAGAGGGTTCTGATTTCTGCTGGCATCCCAGTAGCGCTGATTTTTACGTCACCAACACGTGGCTAACAACAACAGAGACTTCCTTTTATTCTAAAGTTTCAGTCCTGCAGGCACAAAACCTGAAACACCTGTGTGATGCTCATTAGAGCAGCTAAAGCGTATTCTCCTCTGTTGCCAAAGTGTTTATTTCTATATTTCAACTGGCAATTTCTTTTTTTTTTTTTTTTTTTAAACTAGTGTCTGTTAACAAATCTTTTAAGAGCTGAGTCTTATGTCAGATTAACTGCTTGAACAGATGCCAAAGATGCTTCAGCACAACATACCTTAAAAACCATTTGTGGTCCATTCCAGTAGCCCAATTTTTGGGAGAGGTGACCTCTACTTAAGAGACAGTAAACGACCAGACAGAAGGCAGAAACTCCTTGAAGAAACGCCCAGGTTCAGTAAAAGTGATTGTGTCATTCCTTGAGTGTGCACTCATCGAATCACAAGTGGTGTGCGAGAGCCGAGCCGTGGGGCTGGCACAGTAAGCACTTGGGCAGAGGAACCAGCGTAAGGGTAAAAAACAGTCAATAGAAGCAAATTTTGCTAAATTGGCCCAGTCTAAGAGAGAAATTTATTTCTTCACCGAAGTGAATGGGTGAGAAAACACCTTTCTTTGTCTTGAGAATACCCCAAGGTTTTCCTCTTCATGTGTTCTGGTTTTCCTCTTTCAGCATAAGGATGCGTACCAGGCCATCTTGGACGGTGTGAAAGGAGGTGCCAAGGAGAAGAGACTGGCAGCCCAGTTTATTCCCAAGTTCTTCAAGCATTTTCCTGAGCTCGCCGACTCGGCTATCAATGCCCAGTTGGACCTCTGCGAGGATGAAGATGTATCTGTAAGAATAAGAACATTATAGCAAGTTGATTCATTGAATTTATATTTTGGGGTTTTTTTGTTTTTTTTTTTAATAGACTTTGTCTTTCAGGAGGGGAGGGTTGGTCTTTGGAAAACTTAGGTGTGTTTGTGCAATCGGAGAATTCATGGCACGATGGTATGGGAAGACACAGCAGTTTTGTTTTCTCTTTTTCACTCCCGTCGTTGGTCAAAGGAATAACTCTGTAGAAAGAAACTTAGATAGGGTTTATTTGAATATCTATTACGTTTTTTCCTTTCACAAAGCACTTTGTGGTAATTCATTCTAATAAATCCCGCTGGAGGCCAGAAAATTTAGTTTGCACCTGAGAACCGTGGGGATGCAATTCTGCATGCATTATTCTTGCGGAAGTCTTGAGACGCGTAACGCTGCTTCTGTGGTTTGGGCAGAAGCTGTACCTTTGAAGCATCTTTGGGTATCAGATCTTGGAAGTTTTGGGGCAGATCATTCAGGGATTTTTGTCTGTGCTGGGAATAAAACCTAGAGTTTCTCTCAGCCATGTGCAGAACTGTAAAACTCTCTCTCCTGTTAGCAATTGAGACTCCATAATAATGCAGATTCCAGCCCTTTATTTTGTTTAGCAAATGAATACCTTTGTGAACAGAAGGGATGTTTGAATTTGGTTTTTCTCCAGTGCTGCTGAGATCCAAGAAAAATACATTATTTTCTTTATAAATACTTCATAATAGTTTCATAGCAAATAAGAAGTTTGAACTGCCATTAAAGCCTGAAATTTGAACATCACGTTCCGAACATCATACTTATGTTAAAAGAATATGTGGTCATTTCCTCAAATTTGGCTGATTTTTCTGCCAAACTGGTAGTTGAATTGCCTGGTTTTGTTTTTTTTTAGTAATTATTTTAAATTTTTTTGTTTTATTTCCACAATACTGACAATTTTGACAGATCCGGCGACAAGCGATCAAGGAACTGCCTCAGTTTGCCACTGGAGATAATCTTCCTCGGGTAGCAGACATACTGACCCAGCTTCTCCAGTCAGGTAGGAGACATTGGGAGTTTCCTGGCTGATCTCCTTGTGGCACACCTAGAAACGTGGGCAATTTTGTTCTGCAAAACATTTCTGTTGATTGAGTCTTTCTCGGTGCCGTTCATGTCCTGCTTCTGCTCTTTTTACCCCCCTTCATATTCACCGTACAGTTATGCCACTGCTTCTGCTGAAAGGTAGATTGTCCTAATCTGAACTGAAAATCTTTCTTTAAAATATACCTTTTTTTTTTTTTCCATTCAAGTTCTCCAAAAGCATTTGTAGAAAAAGGGAGGGGGGAAAAAAAAAAATAAATCCCTCCAGTTATGGACTGCAACAAATTGCCTTTTGAAAAGAGTTACAGTTACTGGATTTCTAATCCAGGTACTCAGGGACTTTAAGAATCCCGAGGGCATTTTCTTCCACACAATGCATTTTTGGTGCAAAATTCAGAATTTAATATACAATATTTTTTTTAAATCTCAGTAAGTTACAGGGTGCTAAATATTAGATGTTCAAATTTATATTAAAAATACATTATTAGGTCTGTAGGCTTCTCAGAAGAGACTTTTTTTAAAAAAAAAATATTTCTCCATTTAGTTCAAGAGGAAAATTGTTTCTCCCTCCTAGAAATACTGTAGATTACTTAAGAATTTGAAAAGAAATCACTGTTTATTTGACCTTAATGTAGTAAATGTCAGCTTGTTTATTCAGCTGTTCCTTAAAACGATTAAATATCTTGACTGGTAACTTCCCTTCCAGTTTCCAGTCCTATCAAGTTTGTAATGTCAGAGTTTTGGCAGGGAGGCTAAAGGGACAAACAGCTTTTTGTTTTGCTTTGGGCTTTCAGAAACACAGCTTTCTACTTCCCCTGCCTAGTAGTCGTTAAAAATACAAGTTATGTTGTTTATGGTGAAATGCTGAGGGTAGAATACTTGTTATGTGATAGCAGAAACCTGTCTTCAGTTTTTCAAGGATATGTGTATCCGTTTTTTTTCTCTCTTCAGATGATTCTGCAGAATTCAATCTGGTGAACAATGCTTTGCTCAGTATATTTAAGATGGACGCCAAAGGTAAAGGACACATTTTTCTGTAAATGTCTTTTATTTATACTTCCCAGTTTCTAGTAGGATGAAAGCAGGACTCAATTTTATGTCTTCTGAGTACAATGCCAAAGTTAGAGATACACATTTTTTGGTTTTACAAACTATACTGACCTTTTCAGTAATTATTGATCTGAGTTATGCAGACCAATAAAAGAATGCAGATTCTTATGTCAAGATATGTGAAAATTGTGGTTTTTCGTAAAAGTTAATGTAGCAGTTATTTTAAAATGCGTCATGAAGTCTTATAGGAGGAAACTTCTTTCTTCTGCGTAGAAGTTTCAGCTCTTAATGTCTAAAATAATCTGTGTTACCTGATTTGTTCTCCATTCAGGGACTTTGGGAGGCTTATTCAGTCAAATTCTTCAGGGGGAGGATATTGTGAGAGAGAGAGCCATCAAGTTCCTCTCCACAAAACTGAAAACCCTGCCTGAGGAGGTGATGACAAAGGAGGTGGAGGAGTTCATATTGACTGAATCCAAGAAGGTGAGCGTCGTATTTCAGTGCAAACTTGAGTGTTATCAAACCATCCTTCTCACTGACATTGCTTTGGTCTATTTAAGCATTGTACAAGTGTGGTCTTCTAGTTATCCTGTTCTGCTACAATCCCAACTTTGCAGCATTTTTCTAGGAATCTTAGAATACCGCTAGGCTCTTTGGGAGATCCATCACCTCAGTGAACCATGCTCAGCGGAATTCAGATCAGATCTCTCGATGCTTTGTCCAGTTGAGTTTTGAAACCCCTAAGGATGAAGATTTCCCATGCTGTCTGGGCAATCATCTCCAATGTTTACAACATGATTTATTTTTCTTCTTTATCCCCTTGGAACCTCCCGTTTCAGTTTTGTATCATTGTCTCCTTTTCTACCCTGTCCACATCAGTAATGAACCTGGCTCCTACTCTTAGGGACTTGCTCTTAGTATTGGAAGATTAGTGTTAGGTCATCTCATCCTCTTATGACATTTTTCCTTTAGGCTGAAAAAGCCCAGTTTCCTTAGGTTCTCTTCACAGGTCATGTGCTCTAGACACTGACCACCATGTTGGCTGGGCTTTCTAAAGTTTATCAACACCTTCCTCCTACAGGAGGGCCCCACATGAGGTGCAGTATTCCAGATTTGGTGTATAGAGGGCATAGCAAAGGAGAATCCTCGATCCTTTCGCTTCCCTAAGTCTACTGGCTATGCTCTCGTCGCAGCGCAGGACGTTGTTCATCACCCAGAGAATGCTGCTGACAATTAGGTTTAGCCTGCTGTCCCTCAGAACCCTCACAGTCTTTTCAGCAGAGCAGCGCCCCAGCCATTCAGTCCCCAACGTGTGCTGATGCAGGGAAGTTAGTTCATCCCAGGTGCAGGGTTTTGCATTTGTCTTGGAATTTCATGAAATTCCTGTGTATTCCCCAAGCTGAGAAAGATACAAAAAGTATGAAAACCATCAATAACGAGTGGATACTAGTTTAACATTTATTCTGCCTGAAGCATGCAATTTTGTCAGACAAGAAATTTGTTCCTAAGGTTAGAACCTCAAGCAAAATGTTTCCTATGCACAACTTAAAGACAGTTACTTCAATTTGGAGGTGCATACAATTGTACTGCGTGTTTTCCTTTGTTCCTTTTAAATGACTGGAAGCTAAATTTGAATGCTCAATATTTGCATGCTTTACCTTTTCAAGTCAGAGAGGTTTGATGTGGGGGTTTGCAAATTACCACCCTAGAAATATGTTTTCTGATGTTCTATTAAGGTGCTGGAAGATGTGACGGGCGAGGAATTTGTTCTGTTCATGAAAATACTGTCTGGATTAAAAAGCTTACAGACAGTAAGTGGGAGGCAGCAACTCGTGGAGCTGGTAGCCGAACAAGCTGACCTGGAGCAAACATTCAATCCATCTGATCCAGACTGTGTGGACAGACTTCTGCAGTGTACTCGGCAGGCAGTGCCACTCTTCTCAGTATGTATTTATTTGCTTGGCACGAGGAGTCTTGGGGAAAGTTAGTGGCTGTAGCTTCCATTTGGTGTTCGCAGTGATTATGTTAGAACGACAGCCTATCAGTACTTTTCCACCTTCAGCTTCTAATGTATTTAAGTGTGGGAAGGCATCCATAAATTCTCCAAATACAATGAGCTTTTGTGTTATTCTCTGCTCTTCAACATTTTCTTTCAAATTTAAGATCTCACAGTGAATCACGACAAGATTCTCATGTTGGGTTTCTACATGTATGAGTTTGGTTATTTCAGGTCTGCTGCCAGGCAATTGCAGCACGTAAAAGCCTGTTCCTGGGTTATGGGCCGTCTTTTCAGCCCCTGAGTTCAAATACCTGGAAGGGCCTCTGCATTTGAGGAGTCAGAGGGAGGTTTAATCTTTAATAAAGCTTGAAAGTATCGCTGTGTGGTAGGCCTTCGTAAGGGTGGCAGAGTGATGGGGGAAAAACGTTTAACTCCTCCAAACTCAAAGAGTAACCTGAATAATGTGCCATGTTTTTTGCAGAAGAACGTTCATTCCACAAAATTTGTTACTTATTTCTGTGAGCATGTTCTGCCAAACCTCAGTTCTTTGACGACTCCAGTGGAGGGTCTTGATATCCAGTTGGAGGTAAGCCAAAGCTAAAGTGTCTTGCAAATTGTAAGAAATAGGCATCTTAGATGAAAACAACTATTTTAAAAATTGCAGACTCCTTTCTTAACTAGTTTTCAGTTGGTGGCTTGGAGGAAAACTAGCAACACGAGTTAAAAATATTTGCTGTATTGAGGCATGACTGAGCATTGCCTTTTAAAGCATATGTTATTTGTCTCAAGCTTTTGAGGCAAGGCTAGAGTAAGCAGATCAGTGTAATCATTTTTATATTACTGTCAATTTTTTTTAAGCACATAGCATTTACAGAAATGACTGTTGCATGGCTTGTGCTAATTTAGCCTCCTAAGGGAGTGGCTTGATGTCTGTAATTTTGCTCACGATAATCAGTGTTAGATCTCTGTGAATCCCACTTTGAAGGTGAGCTGTGCTGCAGACTTAGGAGATGAAGTTTTGTTTCCTTGTTGACTAATGGTGCTTGTTGGGATTAGATACTCAAACCTTTGTTTGTCTGTCTGAGGACATGAAACACAGACTAGGCATGTTCCTCCTTGTATTCTTTCCTGATGTTTGGGAGGGGGTTGACTGTAATAGCTGACCTCTGCTGTGCCAGCCATAACAATGTGACAAGCACTTTTAGGTGGAAAGTTAAGCCTTTGTACTTTTCAGTTAACACACAAAAACCTGGCTGTCCTTGTGTGTAGGTTTTGAAGCTTCTTGCTGAAATGAGTTCATTTTGTGGTGATATGGAAAAGCTTGAATCAAATTTGAAGAAGCTGTTTGATAAATTACTGGTAAGACTAATTCAATTTTTACTTATGTAAAACACTGTAAAAAAATGTTTTCATCAAAACAAGTTATTTTTGTCTATCAATCTATTTATCCTTTTCCTAAAGTGGCTATTTCAAAGATAGCTCTGTCCGTAATAAAACGTCAAACATCATTTCGCAATTCAAAGCCTTTGTAGATACAGAGAGCTGTTACCTGCATAATGTTTTTAATCCAGTAAACCCATGTGGTTTTGTTCTTTTTAACTTGTGTAGTCATGAGAGACTCACGTTGATGTCATTAAAGGCTATTTCTGCACTGACAATTTAAGGAAATTCAGTGCTGTTTCAGAAGCACCGGTGCAGTACGTTGTTGCTTCCTGTAGTAGCAGTGCTCTGAGTCAAAGGGGCCAAGTCAAGGAAGTGTAGGCAAACTGCCTGCACCAGGACTTCATGCAGCACTTCCTCACGTTGGGGAATACTTCTGAAACTGTCCACATAAATAAACCCTCCGGTTCAAATACTAGAAAAGAACAGTCAGTCTGCATAAATGTGTCTCATGCGCTGTTTTTTCCTTTCTGTTCCTTAGGAGTATATGCCCCTTCCTCCAGAGGAAGCAGAGAACGGGGAGAACGCTGGCAACGAAGAGCCCAAGTTGCAGTTCAGTTACGTGGAGTGTTTGCTGTACAGCTTCCATCAGCTGGGGCGTAAACTTCCCGACTTCCTCACAGCCAAGCTGAACGCCGAGAAATTGAAAGACTTCAAAATCAGGTAATCATGTAGAGGCAAGTGTTAGAGCTCTGTTAGAAAGTGTGAATTATTGTTGTCTGGACGCTAAAGAAGCACAAAGCAGACTGATAGAAGGCTTATTTTGAGCATTGTTCCTAAAGAGGAAAAAAAAATGAATTACAGCTTCCCTTTGCTTATGCTTTTATTTTACGGGAACATGTAAAATTTATTAATGGATTGCTTTTAAATTTTCTAGGCTCCAGTATTTTGCTCGAGGGTTGCAGGTGTATATTCGACAGCTTCGTCTAGCCCTTCAAGGAAAAACAGGAGAAGCCTTGAAAACAGAGGAGGTGAAGTATTGTTCAGGAATTCCGATTTTTTTTGAAACGAGCCTACCGAAATAACCAGTGGCACACGTTGGTGGGCTGCAGCCTGTTGGAAGCATGCAGAGAGATTAAGGAGATAATACTGCTCACATCTGTTGCAGCTGCATCTCACTGATGCTGCATTTTACAAGCTTAGGATCACAGACTCACAGAATGTCAGGGATTGGAAGAGGCCTCAAAGGATCATCTAGTCCAGTCCCCCTGCCGGAGCAGGACCACCTAGATCACATCACACAAGAACACGTCCAGGCGGGTTTGGGACATCTCCAGAGAAGGAGACTCCACAACCTCTCTAGATGATCTTTTAGTTCCTACTGTTCACCACTCTCTGCATCCACATGTATTTGGCTTAGCTGCGCTCTGTGGTTTGTTTTGAAGGGGAAATTTTTATCTACTGGGGAGAGGGAATTCTAGTGGCAAATACACTGGACTATTTTAAAAGCAACTAGTGTGAAACTGCCAGAAGCCTAAGAATAGTTGTAATGAAAATGCAGAAGTGTAGACACCTCTCAGTATTATTGCTGCTACGAGGAGCAGCCAGTTTAACGTTACCAGCTTCACCAAATGCAGTTTGATGCGTGCATAACGTAAAGCTACTGGAAGAGGTGCTCAGTGGTGTTTCTTTTTTTACAGAACAAGATAAAAGTGGTTGCCTTGAAAATAACCAATAACATTAACGTTTTAATCAAGGTAAGTCCTTGCATTATGAAGGAGTAAATTCGCATGGTAGAGTAACCTGTGCAGAAAAAAGGAATAGATTTGATACAAGTAGTATGGTGTTATTAAGTTAGTCAGCATCAGCCAGCTCAGGATTGCTGCCTGCTTTACTGTTAACTTAACCTTTGCTGCTGCTGGGAGGGAGGGTTGAGGCCCTTTTTTTGCAGAACTGGTTGCCCAAAGGAGCAGCAGACCTTGCTTTAGGGAGTCTCTGGAATCTGGCCAAGGTTTTTTCCGTGTCATTTCACTTTCCTGCAGTGGCAGGGAGGGGTAAGGAATAGTTTGAAGAGGTGCAAGGACATGTAAAGGAGGGAGGAGGCAAAGCAAGCTGCTCTACAGAACCTTTTTCTCCAAAGAGTCTAGGAGAGATGGGCTGCAGAAAGAGACTTCCATCCAGAGCCCTTGAAACCATTTGATTTCTTCTAGCCACCTTTTCCTCTCTTCACTTCCCATCTCCCCCTCAGTCACCATGACAAACTGAAAACTTTGCTGCCAGTACTGAGAAGCCTTTTACTATCACAGGGTTATCAGATGTCCCCATGCAGGAGCCACTGTGGTTCATTGTAAGATGCTTGATGTGTGCAGGGGGAGAGAGAAAGCATATAATATCAGTATAAAACTGCCTTCTGTTCCTATAAATTTTTGTTTGAATTTCCTAGCAAAGTGTTTGGACTAAAGCTGCCAGATAAGGCAGTTAGCTACTGCTTATATCAGTATAAAACTGCCTTCTGTTCATATAAATTTTGTTTTAATTTCCTAGCAAAGTGTATGGGCCAAAGCTGCCAGATAAGGCAGTTAGCTACTGCTGCCTTCTCCCTCTGCCTTAGGACTTCCAAAAAGACTTTAAATAGTTGCAAAGTAACTGTTATTCTAGAGTCTCAGTTAGGTAGCTAAAATTTCGAAGTGCCATCAACATGAATTTAGCTGTAGAATAAACTGTCCGGTTTTGCCTCCATAGGATCTCTTCCACATTCCTCCTTCTTACAAAAGTACGGTTACACTGTCCTGGAAACCAGTACAGAAGGCAGATGCAAGGTAAGAGATTTAAAAAAAAAAAAAAAAACAGTGATGGTAATTTTTGCTGTTTACAAAATAAAGTTAATCTTTAGGGCTGAACTGCTACTCCTGTACTTGTCACCACAGGGGTGTAACGATCTGTTTTGTTTTCTTCTGTCAGCCAAAAAAGAGCAAGTGAAGACACCACCTCAGGGTCACCCCCAAAGAAAGCTTCTGCAGGACCAAAAAGGGATGCCAGGCAAATATATAATCCTCCCAGTGGAAAATACAGCAGTAACCTGGGGAGTTTTTCTTATGGTAAGTTAGGCAGCTTGGAAAAAAACTTTGCCTACTGCCAGCTGTGCCTTGGAGCAGGGGGAACAATCGAATTAAGCCAACTTACTGTCACGTTCTCGGAAGATCAGGTTGTACTGTCACCAATTTTTGTGTGTAATGGGCTCTTTCTGCCTGTTGATCTCTTACAATGTTTGAGTGTCACCAGCTTATAAACTACGTCATTTGCGAGTTAGTTTCAGCAGTGCTTCAGTATATAGAGTTAGTAATTGAACCATTGTGTTTCTATTATGACAAACAGCACTTGCTCCCCACATTTCCCATTGGACAGACCAGTTTCTGCAAGTGGCAGAGCTGGGCCACCTCCTGTCACACAGCTGGACCTGTGCCGACCTCCTGTTAGAGCCACTGCTGATGTCGCAGACCTGATCCAGAACTCCTGGGAGTTGCCAGTTTACTGTGGATACACACAGTTATGTCCTCGTGCTCCCAGTCAGAGTGATTCTGTCTCTCTGCAAGTTACATTTCTGGGCAAAACAGGCAAGCAGTTGCAGACTGGATGAATAGACCCAACAACTGCAGTGACCCGTTCTTGTCTTCACTGTAGGCCCCATTGGTGCCACCTCTGTCAACAGCCTGCCATAACAAATGATCACCATGCCCGTGGGTTGAAAAACTGATAAAAAACACTGTCTTATATATAAAACAAAGAGAAAAGATAAAATCTGCAAATTTCTTACTGCAGGCTTCAGGTGGTGCACCTGTGTCTTTTCAGATACGCTTGTAGTCCTGTGGTTCTAAAAATTAGGGAGTTTTCAACCAAAAACGTTTTATTGCATTTTATTGTTTCTTGTCAGGGAGATGTTTAGGCCTCTGATCAGCTTTTGATTTCTGCACTCTTTAAAATAAGCACACAGTTCTCTTTGTAGATTAATATGACCTGTATTTTATGACAGTACATGAAGAGAAAGCAGGGAAGGGGAAGGAGAGCTTGATGTATTTTCAAACAAATCCAAAGAAACTTTATTGAAATGTTTTGTGGGTTTCTTGCTGTGATCGATTTGCCCTTATCAAAGGGAAAGGAAAAAATTCCTATAGTATGCAAATAGTTTGTGTGGTATCCATGTATGTCTAAGATTTTTAATTGGATATAGTTAAGATACAAGCCCAGCAAAAAAAACTTAAGTATGCTCTGGATTACTTAAGGAGAAGGCATAGACTGACAAAGTTGTGGTTTTCCATCATTTTGTAAAATCACTAGGAGCAAGTCAGACAAACACTCTGAGATCAACATGGTGTTAGTGGACAGAGGATGAGCTAGGTAGCCTCGTGAAGTTCTTCACAAACCAGTTTTGGCCCAAATGTAGTTCCAAAATAATTGGGACAGTTATGTATCATAGTATTAGTATGCAGAGAGACTCCATTTCATTTGGAGAGGCTGATTCTTCTCGCCTCCTTTTAATTAGTGGGGTCTGTTGTCCTTCAGAGCACAGCTTGGAGATCACATGGCATATAAGCAGGTTTGGCCTCAGAGACTTTGTCAGCCTTCAGCACCTCCAGTTATTGCTCTTTAATTTTAATCTGTTTACAGCATAAAACCTGGATGAAAAGCTTTGATTTTCATTTCAGAGCAAAGAGGTGGTTTCCGGGGTGGACGAGGAAGAGGCTGGGGAGGACGTGGCAACCGTAGCCGAGGAAGAATCTACTGAGTAGACCACTAAATCTGAAGGGCTGAAGTTGAAAGTGCTACTCAGCAAGTGTGTTTGGAGTCTTGTTTCCTTCGAGGACTGCCTTCCACTGAGACTGACTTAAATGTTCTTTCTACCTTTGTATGTATGATCTACTTTTCTAACGGGACTACAACTTGTCCATAGTGAAACTACAACTGTATTTTTGGATGCTTACAGTCGGCAGTTTTGGGTTCTTATTTTTGAAGTGTCTTCAGGATTTATTCAAAATTGGAAAAGAGCATAGATGTTTTATCCAAAGCTACACCTTGGCAGTTTGTATATTAACCTAAAAATCAGCTACTGCATAACTGAGACTATAATAAATGAGTTTGTGTGTTAAGTAATGGACAGGAAAGGCATGACAGCAGAAATACACGTCAGATGAGCTTAGCAGCTGCAGTAATCCTTTCTTCATCCGTAGCCACATTTTGCAATATGTGGAGAAGAGTACCATTGTTAAATTTGCTTTGATTTCCTTTTTTTAATGGAACTGAATGAGACACACGCTGTTTTTTTTAAAGTTTGCAATACGGATTGAAATTTATTTTGCTCGTAGCATGAAGCAGTCCTTTTACTTAGAGATGTGGAGAACGTGGTGGTTTTTGGTTTGCACATCTTAACTCTTCTCCGTGCATTGTAACGCAAACGTGATGTTTTTGCAAATTGATTTTTAATGTTTAATATGAATATGTGCATATAGTTATGCCGTGAAATTTCAGTAAACAACCAGGAAAAACAATAAATGACTAGAATTATTCCAGGAATGGGTAAAGAGTGATGCAGTGATTAAGCTTCTTAGGCTGGGACCGGACCGGAGCAGCACCTGGCTCTTTTCTATGTTTTGCAGATTTCTGGATTAGTTGGCACTTGAGGGTTGGATTTTTGGTTTGTGGGCTTTTTCTTAATTTTTTTTACCAATACAGTTGCATTTAAAAATATATAAATAAAATTGTATTTTGGGTAACATTGAAAAATTCCAGCTATGTAGTTCAATTCAGGTGGAAAAGTTAACAATTCCATGCTATTTTTTTTCCATAGCAACTTGGGATTCTTATTTACTGGTGTACACCCAGAAAATACAATGTAAGAGCACAATGCTTTCTTTTTTTTTTTTTTTTTTTTTTTTTATTCTCACCACTCAAAATTTTTACTTCTCAGGTCATTCAACATTGTAAAGGAATTATCAGATAGTAAAAAGAAGTTGAGACAGAGGAAAAGAATTTTAATAAGTGTTCCAGGGCGTGTTGATGTAAAATAGCTTAGGCTTTAGAAGAATGAAAATTATTTCTTACCCTCCTGTTTTCGTCCAGCCATTCGATATCCACAAACAAATGCCTGAAAGTGATGTCTCCCCACTTAGTTCCATTTGTATTTGCTTGTGAATCTGACTTGGGTGTCTTCATTAACTCTCTTTGATATTTATCACTGCAATCAGAAGGCCACAATACCAAAACTATGTCAGAGACATTATCGATGCTCAATTAGAAGTCTCTTTTTGATGAACTGGAGCAGTAGGCAGCAAACTTTGGACATTCCAGGACTTGGGAGCTGACCTTGTATTCCTGATTACGTGCCAGCTGCTGCACTCAGATTTGTCACTGTAACCACCAACCTGGCAAAGAGCTTTCGAGGACAAATTCGTGAGATCAAAATGTCACTCTGAAAATAGGCACTAGGTGGGTGATAAGCTTCTATTGGGGGGAAAAAAATAGACATTTTTGCACTTGTGGCTGTAATTTGTGTTTTGAGGGGATTTAAAAATGTAATCTTAAAGCCTAAACACACGTAGTTTGTATTTAGACTAATAACTAGGTACTAGCAGCTTAACTCACTCAAAATTCAGTGAGAAGATTTCTTTACAGGACTCCTGTTTTTCAGAGGTGATGTGCAAAGTTCTTGTGGCTTCCGAAGTAGGTAGATTATTTTTTTCCCCCCTTCAGTTCCGTATTTAAATTTAATGCAGTGAGTTCTTGTGGAGACACCTGCTTACCATCTTGTTGAATTGTAAATGTTCCCTTACGCTCTTGGAATAAATTCATTTTGTAATTTTGTTTGGCTCATTGTTTCACAGTTACTCTGCAATATTTCGTGTTGGCTTAGTAAAAAGATACTGTGGTACCTTTTCGTTTCAGTGACTTACTCCTTAGATTGCTATAGATGTATTGAGCTGAGGAATAGATCTTAGCAAGACATCATTAGCTGTTTCAATTTTTAAGTAATTCAACTTTTAAATGCAAAATTTTGGATAGGACTTATAAGTATTGAGCGAAAGCTGCATGACATGCATCTTATTTGGGAATTATCACATGAAAAGGAGTCACTCATTGTTTTATTCAACTTAAGGTGTTGATAGTGCAATAAAATTTGTTGATACCTTATGACAGAGCAAGAGTGGCATGGAGCAGCAGCCTTTTTTGTTGAAATCTGTAGTATGCCTAACGGGAAAACTCAGGCAGCAGTAAGGAACTATCACACTTGCAGGAATGTGTTCCCAATCCTGAAAGAAACTGGATCCCTTGCATTTATTTAACCACTCTGCCACCATTTGTAAGCTTTTTTTTTTTTTCTTTTTCCTACTTCCTTTGTTAGAGTCACAGGCAAACTTTACTCTTTGGCAGGCTCTGGGAAGGCTGGTGTCCCCAGGAAGCAGAAACGTTTGCAAACTTGGGAAGGTGGAACAGCCCAAAATTTGGATTTGGCACCTTTAGACCTCACTCAGGACTGGGGAAACTGGCGGGGTGGGCGCTCACCCTTAACTGGGATAGGAAAGGAGAAGATTGGATTTTTCTGTGAAACCGAAAAGCATTACAAGGAAAAACGAGTGACGTTTTCCAGAGCTACCTGCAACCGGCTCCTCAGTGAACGGCATTAACCGCGGGCAGGTGCAGCTCGGTTCCATTCGGGAAAAGGCCCTTTCCCGTCCCGGCAAACAAAAATTACTATTTTTTTTTTTTTTAA